GCGGGATTGCCAGCATACACGACTACCAGATGAATGGCCAGCTGGACATGTGCCGCGGAGGAGGGGGCGCGGGCAGCGGGGTGGTGAGCGGTCCTGTGGGCGTGGGGGGAAACGGGTCCGCTGGGATCGGAGGCGTCCTGGCCGTTCAGAACTCCCTGATGATGGCCAACAATGCGACGGCGGGCAGTGCCCATCCCAGCGGCATGGGCGTGGGCCTGGGCAACGGGTCCGGATCCGGACTGAGCAGCTGCAGCCTCTCCAGCAACACCAACAACTCCGGCCGGACGAACTTCACCAACAAGCAGCTGACGGAGCTGGAAAAGGAGTTCCACTTCAATCGCTACTTGACGCGGGCGCGGCGCATCGAAATCGCCAACACGCTGCAGCTAAACGAAACTCAGGTGAGAAAAGAAAGAAATTATAATGTTAGGAAAATAAATTAATTGTTGGCCAAATAATTGTGGAAATTAAAATTATATAAATGTAAGCAAGCAAATGCTTAACTCGAGGTTATGGATGTCTATAATATTTCCATAACGCAGCGTTTTTATTAAGCTTTCTTCACACTTTCACTAACTAAATAATGTCTCGCAACTATGACTTGACGTCCAGACAACTTTGATTTTACCAAGCAAATAAACTTAAGTAAAACTTTGAATCTCTAACTTTCATAACACAACTAACTTTCATTTCACAATAAAATAAATGCCATAGAAAGAAACCAACCTTAAAGCTCCTTAAAAATGGAAAAACACCCAGCAAACAAAATGACCATAGAAATTGTCGAAATGAACTACATTTTAGAAAATGATCCAAGGACAAATAGGCATATGGGCCAAGAATACAGGTCATTTTATTTTATGGGTGACTAAATACATTTGGGGATACTTAAATGCAAATATTAAAGCTGCGTTTGCTGACTTGACTTATCATTCCTACCCCATTTTCTTGCAGGTCAAGATCTGGTTTCAGAACCGCCGCATGAAGCAGAAGAAGCGGGTGAAGGAGGGTCTCATTCCGGCGGACATCCTGACGCAGCACTCGACGCCCGTCCTCAGCGAGAAGCCACCGCAGCAACAACAGCAACCGCCGGAGTTGCAGATGAAGCCGCAGGATGATCTGGGCACAGCAGCAACTGCAGCACCGCCAGCAACATTATCACTGACAGCACCTACAGCCAAGCAGAGTTGAACGCCTTGCTTCGTTTTAGTTGTTTTTGTTATGCTATTGTTGTTGTTGCCGCCAAAATATTGACGCATTTCGTTGTGATAAATTAATAGAAAATGCACAGAAGATCAGAAGGAAATAAACTAAATAAGGAAATACAATAATTAAATAAATATTATGTCATACAAGTAGCAAATTGAAATTGTAAATCCATACAAAATACGTAATCAAACGCTAGGAACTTGTGGAATCGAGGTGCCATATTCATCTAGGGGCTGTAAATACTTAAACAACCATTTCGCATTGCCGCAGCTGTAGTTTATTGGACTAGCATAAACTAAACTCAGGGTTATATGAAAAATTAAACTTACTTAAACGCACGCAGAGCAATTGACAAAATACGAATAGAAACAGAATCAAAAGGAAAATCCAAATCTAAAATATTTAAATCTATACAAGAACTATACAAAGAAGAACCCCTAGTGTAAACCCTCCCCACAACCACCACCACTCGTATGTAGTATTATTAGCTAAGTTTTAGGATGCCCCTGAGTTCTTCGTTTTGTGCTAGAAAGTAATCGGTAAAAACAATTTTGATGTACGTCTGTATATTTAATCTAGTCCTAATTGTAATATAATTATAACTGTACAACACATGTATGAATAAACAATAAACAAAACCCGATTGCAAATTGTTAATAAACCGTGTGGACAACTTATTGCGAGCGTGGGCATTACAATGATATCTCCGCCGAGTTGTGGACGTATTTATTTTCGGTAATCGCCGATTCGCAAGTACAGCGATAAGCAAAGTAACATTCGACCGGACTGGGGAATTCTGTCCGAAAGGGCAGCCGCCAAAAGAGCCTTCTAACCATAGAGTGTCTGGGATATCTTGATTAATTGGAAAGCGAGACTCATGGTCAAAATACCATATGCAAATCTATCATTGTGCAAACAGGCATGGCTGGGGGATTACAGTTTCATATATTTATCACATGCTTGTGAAAATTTGAATATTTCTGGGACTTGTTGATTCTTTAAATTTTGCATTGATAACTTGAGTAATTTACCGACAAGAAAATTACCCAGGAAATTCATCAAACGCCTTTGAGCAAACAGTTTCGCACATGGCTGATAGATAGGATTTTAAGACCACTTAATAAACAAAAATGTACACTTTTGATTTCTTGAAAGTGATTCATAAATTCAGCAAAGCAATGTACAAAACAAAAACAAATAGTTGTTGGTTTTACATTTCTTAGTCGAATTACTGAATATAAAATATATATTTATAATCAGCTTATAAAAGAATGCCATTCAAGATCAAATTTTAATAAATAGCTATAGCAGTACTAAGAAAAAAACAAATGTTGACAATGTTGACAATTTCAGGATAACGACATTTACTTAAAATGTAACATACTGACTGGATTTATTTTACGAAAGATACATATTGCAGAAACATCCAGTCAAAGCTGCATTGTTAATAAAAAATAACAGAAAAAGAAACGTTAGTTTTAAAATGTATTATTAACTTTAACCTAAGAATCCTTATTTAACAACAAATTTTTCACAGGCAACACAAAATAAAATCGCATCTCTTAAATATAAAAAAAACGAGGACGGAAGCTAACTTCGGCAAGCCGAAGTTTTAATACCCTTGCAGACTTTGACGAAATTGCTAAAAGTGAAAAAGTAGCGAAAGGAATAAGGTATACATAAGTAAACTAGATTTGCATCGTTTCAAGTCAATTGCTTTTATACTGCAAAAATGTCATATACAAAAGGGATACTTTCGCAGCCTTTAACAATTTTTCCTATCTCCTTTAAGATATAGACTTCCGAGCGGCAAGCGCTTTTACCCTAATCAAGATATGCGTAAATAAATAAGAATTGGAAAATTTTATGTTAGTAGCTTACACACTGCGCGAAATATTCTGATAATCATCAAATTTGGACCGATTTCACCCTATTGTTCCTATGGGAGCTATAGGATATAGACGTCCGATCGGCACGCGCTTTCACCTTGATCAATGTATGCATAAAAAAATAGGATTTGGAAAGATTCATGTCAATAGCTTGTATACTGCGTGAAATATCCTAAAAATCATTAAATTTTAACCGATTTTACCCTTTTGTTCCTATGGGAGCTATAGGATATAGACGTCCGATCGTCACGCGCTTTTACTCTGATCAAGGTACGCATAAAAAAATAAGATTTGGAAAGATTTATGTCAATAGCTTTTACACTGCGCGAAATATCTTCCATTCTTGCAAGTTATATCCGATTGTTCCTATGGGAGCTATAGGATATAGACATCCGATCAGGGCGGTTTTCAAACTTGATCTGCGTACACTTGTTTTAGGACGACTGTGAAAGTTTCAGATCGCTAGCTTTTAAACTGAGCTCGCAAACGGTATTGAAACAGACGGACAGACGGACAGACGGACAGACGGACAGACGGACATGGCTATATCGACTCCCCTATTGATCCTGATCAAGAATATATATACTTTATAGGGTCGGAAACGTCTCCTTCACTGCGTTACAAACTTCTGACCAAAATTATAATACCCTCTGCAAGGGTATAATTATCATAAAATTACTTATTTCTGCTATTTAAAAAAAGAATGATTAAAAAAATTGTAAAAGAATAGCCTTTTCTAAAGTTGAAAAGGAAATCAATAAAGATTGAAATTTATTTGTTTGAACATCATATACATAAGGAAAGAAAAACAAACAAGGAAAGCTAATATCGGGCGGAGCCAAAGTTGATAACCCTTGCAGAATATTCTGTAAATTATATTTTCCAAAATTATTCATATGATAAAAAATCCAACTTCCTAACTTTAAAAACACCAAAGTTATGGAATTTGCGATCGTTCAGTTATATGGCAGCTATAGGATATAGTCGGCCGATCCTTATGGTATGTGGTAGGTCGGATTGATTGGCCAAAAATTAAACCCATAGAAAATCCCAACTTCCTAACTTAACAAACACCAAAGTTACGGCATTTCCGATCGTTCAGTTATATGGCAGCTATAGGATATAGTCGGCCGATCCCGGCCGTTCCGACTTATATACTGCGTGCAAAGGAAAGAAGGGTGTGTGCAAAGTTTCAATTCGATATCTTTAAAACTGAGAGACTAGTTTGAGTAAAAACAGACAAACGGAAAGACGGATATGCTTATATCAACTCAGGAGGCGATGCTGATCAAGAATATATATACTTTATAGGGTCGGAAATGTTTCCCTCACTGCGTTGCAAACTTTTGACTAAAATTATAATACCCTCTGAAAGGGTATAACAAAGAACCGTTCTTTCTGTATTTTTATTGGGCTTACCGTTATATAAAATCAAGTAGTGCAAAACGCAGGTGGTATAAGAATAAACAGAACGCATGGTGAATTTCTTTCGGAAGTAAATATATCCAACCTCTAAAATAAATCATATTTTTAATTTACCTTTTATATTTGCTGGCTCGAATGTTATTTGTAAAATAATTTGTATAGAGTTTGATAAACATCCTGGATGTTTTATTAGAATAGTGTCTAAATGGTATACCACAATTTATGCATTCAAAATTGTTGTTTTTGAAATTGAGAGATTATATTTGGACCTTTAAGGCCCCAACAAATTAATTCTCAACCACGTTTTGATGCACGGAATCTTAAAACTTTATAATCTAATTTTCCATACAAATGACAGCGAAGTTCAGCCAGTCCCAGATGTGCAGGAATCTTATAACTTTATAATTTAATTTTTCACACAAATAAAGATATTTATTAATAAAGATATTTATTTGTGTGGAAAATTAGATTATAAAGTTAAGATTCCTTCTCATCTGGGACTGGCTGGACTTCGCCGTTATTTGTATCTGGGACTGGCTGGACTTCGCTGTCATCTATCCGCTGTCTGCGGACGGGCTGGCGGAATCTGATGGTGGGCTTGCCGATGCGGTCTCCTCGGCCTCCTCCTTCTTCTCCTCCTCTGGTTCCTCCTCTGGCACCTTTTGGTGCCGGACCAGTGGGCGTCCCAATCTTGCTGGACTCCGGATTCTTGCTGTGCTCCTTCGGTGCCGGTGGCTTGCCGACGGTGGAGTGGCTCGAATTGGGATTAACAGGCTTTGCCAGAGCTTTCGAAGAGGAGCTGGCCACCGGGGTCTTGAGCTGGTTGGAGGACTTGCTAGCCATGGCATTGGCAAGGGGTATCTTTGTGCCGGAGGATCGAGCGCCGCCGACCTTGATCTTGCCATCCGAGGGATTGCCCATCGACTGGAAGTGGAACTGGGAGTGGCAGTGGCGGTGCTCTTGGTGACGGAGATGGTCTTCGACTGGAAGACGGCCTGGTTGTGGCTGCTGGTGGCCGGGACGAGGTTCTGCAAGCCGGAACCGGAGCAGCGCACGCGCGTCTTGCGGTGATGATGCTCCATGGGCAACGTCTGGGAAGCTGGCTTGGCCACCGGAGCATGACCATGAGCATGAGTATGACCATGGACATGAGCAGGAGCAGGAACCTTCCTGGAGGAGCGCTTCGAGGAGCGCCGTGGGCAAAGCGATGGCGGCGAGGTGTGGTGGTGGCGCCGATGGCGGTGATAGTGCCGATGGCGGAAGCAGGAGTGCTTCGGACGATCCGGCTTCCTGGTGGAGCCCTCCGGCTCCTCATCGCTGTCGCTGGACGAGAAGCTGCTGCTGGTTGAGCTGAATTAGCTGGAGGATGCGGTGGATCTGAAGCAGATCCAATCGCTGCTCTCCGAGGCGATCAAGGGGGTGGGTGACCTGTTCCTCACCCTTGGACCAGCTGCTTCTCCTCCGGCGGGGATTACCTCCTTGCGCTCACGGCGATCCTTCCTCTGCCGCTTGGTGGGCGGCTTAACCCCGTCATTCGCCTTCGTGTTCTTCTCCTTGGGCATCCTTGAACCTAATTTTGTTGTTTTCCGGAGCTGCTGCTGCTGAGTTGTTCACACGTCGGGTGACTGCTGCCAAATGAAAATGGGGAAAAGGGAAATGACAACTGTCGTCCAGAAAAAATCAAAGTGGCCAGGCAAAGCTACTAGATTGGAGGATCGGGATTGCCACCTAATAGTTGGGATGGAAACTACATCTCTGTGTTAATGAATTGCTGAATCGTTGAACACTACCGTTCAATCGATTAAAAGCGTTCTAATAGAAGTAAAAAGGTATCATATGGTAACAATCCAATAGAAAATAATATTTGTCGAATAGCTGATTTCCTTGGTATTTATTATTTTAATTATTAGTGGAAATATATTTAATACATTTATTTTTATACCCTTGCAGTGGGTATTATAATTTTGGTCAAAAGTGTACAACGCAGTGAAGGAGACATCTCCGACCCTATAAAGTATATATATTCGTGATCAGGATCGCCTCCTGAGTTGATATAAGCATGTCCGTCTGTCTTTTTCTACGCAAACTAGTCTCTCAGTTTTAAAGATATCGAATTGAAACTTCGCACGGAACGGCCGGGATCGGCCGATCCTATTGTCGACATACAACAGATTGATCGGAAATGCCATACTTTTGGTGTTTGTAAAGTTAGGAAGTTGGGATTTTCTATCGTTCTTATTTTTGGCCAATCAATCCGACCTACCAAATTTCATAAGGATCGGCCGACTATATCCTATAGCCGCCATATAACTGACTGATCGGAAATGCCATAACTTTGGTGTTTGTAAAGTTAGGAAGCTTGGATTTTCTATTGGTTTTATTTTTGGCCAATCAATCGGACCTACCAAATTTCATAAGGATCGGCCGACTATATCTTATAGCCGCCATATAACTGACTGATCGGAAATGCCAAATTTTTGGTATTTGTAAAGTTAGGAAGCTTGGATTTTCTATGGGTTTTATTTTTGGCCAATCAATCCGACCTACCAAATTTCAAAAGGATCGGCTGACTATATCCTATAGCCGCCATATAACTGACTGATCGGAAATGCCATAACTTTGGTGTTTGTAAAGTTAGGAAGCTTGGATTTTCTATTGGTTTTATTTTTGGCCAATCAATCGGACCTACCAAATTTCATAAGGATCGGCCGACTATATCTTATAGCCGCCAGATAACTGACTGATCGGAAATGCCAAACCTTTGGTATTTGTAAAGTTAGGAAGCTTGGATTTTCTATGGGTTTTATTTTTGGCCAATCAATCCGACCTACCAAATTTCAAAAGGATCGGCTGACTATATCCTATAGCCGCCATATAACTGACTGATCGGAAATGCCATAACTTTGGTGTTTGTAAAGTTAGGAAGCTTGGATTTTCTATGGGTTTTATTTTTGGCCAATCAATCCGACCTACCAAATTTCAAAAGGATCGGATCCTATAGTTGCCATATAACTGAACGATTGGAAATGCCATAACTTTGGTGTTTTTAAAGTTAGGAAGTTGGGATTTTTAATGAGTGTTAAGAATGCATCATATGAATAATTTTGGAGAATATAATTTACAGAGTATTCTGCAAGGTTATGTCAACTTCGGCTCCGCCCGAACATTCGTTTGTCCTGCTACTTTGTATAAAGAAAAAACTAATAAATGCATAAATCGACCTCTCAAATAAACTTTATTCTCATAACCCTATCTCTTTAAAGTTAAATATTTTTTAATTACTTACAAAAAAAATTTTTAGCAAATGCCACATAAAATAAATTAAAAGAAGTTCCCCAAGTTATTAGGTAATTTATTTTACTCAAGATATTATGTTCCAAGATTATTATGTTGGGCATCTTGTTCATTCTTATGAAATAAAAAAAATATAAAAATATATTTCAACTGTTTTTTAATACAAAATATCTTTCTTTATCCCAATAGATCTGGCAACCTTAATTTTCCCTTAAATTTACCCTAAATTAGACGTTTTGCCGACGCAGCTGTGGTCACACTGGATGGACAGTGTTTTAAGATATTTTGAAATTAATTTTAAAATCAAATGGCGAAGTGGTTTTCTCAGAACTCCCGGATCCGATTGATTCACATTGAGAGTCCTCCGGAGATCATCCGTTTCTCCTACCTGGAAACCAAATTCGGCCGGATGATGATGGGCGTTATTAATCCATTTACAGTGGATTCGAAAGACCAAGTCGCAGTTTGCTTACTTCACTTTGTGGATAAGGATGTCGCAAAAACCTATGACGAAGTACGGCAACGGTGGCCGAAATCTCTCCTCCAAAAGGACGAAGCTTCCGTCCAGTTGGTCGCGGAAAAACTCTTTGAGGGCGACAAGGAGAACTCGGAGGTGGTTCCAATCGCCATCCTGGGCACCGAATTTCAGAAGTCCGTATGGTCAGCTCTTGTGGATCTGAAAAGTGCCGAGACATACACCTATTCCCAACTGGCCGATCGCATGGGCTGTCCCAAAGCTATCAGGGCAGTGGCCAACGCCGTGGCAAAAAACGAGGTAGCCATCCTCATTCCTTGCCACCGGATTGTGTCCCAAAGTGGAGCACACAAGTACCACTGGGGTGCAGCCCTCAAGCAGCAGCTCCTAGCCTTCGAAAAGAACTTGAAATATTAAAAATTGTTACTTGTATCTTTATTGAAACTCAGCTCCGCACAAAGGTCTTTCTGTTCGGGATGGTAAGGAAATCGAAAATGCAGACAGGCTCGAGATTGTGCACTTCCTACTTATAAATTGAACCTACAAAATAAGAGCAAACTCATCTATTCCCGATGCAGCAGTACGAAAATAGCCAGAATGGAGAGGATGGCCCACTGGAAAGGCAGGGGAATTAAGGGCATTATAAGTATGGAAAATAAGGCTGATGATATTCGTTCATGAAGATCGTGATGATGCCCACGTAGGGCAGGAAGCCCCTGGCCCGGCCCACAATATCCTTCTTGGTCAACCACAGCTGATTGGGCGCATACAGACCCCGATCGTCCACGTTGTTGTTGTCACCCTTGGTCAGGAACTTGACGGAGCCGTCCTCCCTGTCAAGAGAGGTGTGGATTAGTAAAAACTGATAAATTTACAGCACAGGTGCGAAAGCTAACATTCTATTTTTTTAAATCCAAAAAACCTTAATCATTTTAAAAGAATGAATTTATTAGCCAAACCTGAAGTTATTAGGTTAGAAACAAAACCCTATCTTTCACAGAATTGTTAAATTTGCATAGATTGTTAAAATTATATTCAATTTTTCTTTCCAAATAAATATAATTTATTATTCCAATAAAGAACTTACTCTTATAAGACTTCAAGAAGTTAAATTACCAATACTATTCTCGCCAATTTTCATAATAAATTAGAAATAAAATTAAATTTCAACAATCAGTGGTTCAAATTTAATAAAAAGTTTAAGCATGGCTGCTTAAACTGGCAAGTACACAAAATATGTAAATATTGACGTTGCTAATCAAGAGGGTTATAAGCAGCACATACTAGACATAAGTCTAAGCCCGATCTGAATATCATTGCCCTGTAGCACGTACCTTCTTCGTTCTAATTAATTTTTTAACCCGGCACGCAGTGGGTATGGTCCTACCTCAACCTTCTCAGTTTTTGTAAGCAAAGAAATAACACACTAATCTTGCCTCCACTGTTTCGTCATACCCTTCCGCAAGTTTTACTTTTTACACATAACAATATGGCTCGGAAACAAGAGCTCACGCTCGGGGACATAAATCCCGGTCTAATTGAGCTTCTCAGGCAACTCATGTACAGATCTACAATTTGAGACAAAATAAGCAGAGATTACTCTTTAACTGGACTACTAAGTCTCTGAACTAACTTTCAAAGAATATTTATCCACCTATTTTAAAACTAAGTTAAAGAACACATTCCCCCTCAGACATGGGACACTCACTTCTCGTGCAGCTTGATGACGCGATGCACTATGGGTATGTCCCTGCCCTCCACCTTGAAGACGACGATCTCGCCGACGCGCACTGGCTCCTCCTTGTAGTTGGTGAGGAAGAGGAGGTCGCCGCGGTGGAAAGCCGGCTCCATGCTCCCGCTGAGTACCACCACAATCGGGGACTCGCTGCCGGTGACCACCATCAGGCCCTTCCAGATCATCAGCGCCGAGGAGACGATCATCGCGAAGCTCAGCACCTGGTACAGCGACTGTTGGGGGATAATGGACAATATGGATCAGGATGCCAGCTAGATATGTACCTAAGCCCGGAAATGCGGCGCCGCTCACCTGACGCTTGTTCATTCTGTTGAAGTCTCCCAGCATCTCGTCGATCTGCAACATGCTGGCTACGCCCATGACTGCGTCTGTGTGTTTGGGATCCTTGGAGAGGATATTAACCTAGCTAAATGCAAATAAACGGGCCCTTAACAAAACTCTTCGGCTTCGTCCACGAAGACAGAAAATTACAGACACGTATGTGGCGGTGTGGCCGTCGGCCAGCGCATCGTAAATGCCAAATATAACTTGACTGGAAGTGCGCGATTCTGGGGCACTGATATTTGACTACACTGTCAGGTTCTTTGAGTTTTCCGCTTTTGTGTTTCTAATTTTCTCTTTGTTTAAGTAGTGTATAGTTTTTATTTATTGTATAATAATAAAGATGAAAAAATTAGAAAAAACCCTTCGACTCTTGGTAACCAATCTATTTTTTCCGAACTTGAATGAATTTATTTTCTTATTCAACTTCATCAATATTTTAAGTTTGTTTAAAAGTAAATAAAACAATATCAAATAACGAATCTATGTCATCAATCTTGTGGAATAAGATTAAAATCTTACATTTTCAAAACGAGAAGAGGAGCTTACGATTGCTTTTTAAACTGAATTCAAAATCAAAATTTTATTAAACATTTTCCTAATATTTCTACACGAATATTGGCCGAAGTTTTGTTTAAATAATTTAAACGCAAAGCAAATAATTATATTTGTACTGAACAATTTTATTCCTATTATATTACATTTATGTGAATAGATTCCTAAAGAAAATGTATTAATTAAAAAAAAAAACAACACAAAACTAATTTAACCTAATTAACTAATTACTTTACCAGAAATCCAAAAATGTTTTGCATATAAATAACACTTTCCCATTAATTTATAAATCTTATAGTTTAAAAACTAATATTTCAATTTTTTGATTGTTTTTTGAGTGAATACCCCTTCGGTCGCCAGTATTGCCAGACAACTCAAATGATAACGAGGCGAGCCATCTGCATTAGTAAGACCATAGTGGAGCCGTTGAAATCCGCACTTGGTGTGACCGCACCCGGAAACGTGAAGTGAGCGCCATCGGTTGCGTTTTTTCGCGAAATATTTTTAGGAAATAAAACAAACGGAGCAACATGGGTGACAAGCTGCTGGACTCGACGCAGATCATCAATGGCCTGGCTGTGATGCTGTCCTTCTTCGTGGGCTACCGTTACGCCCTAAAGCGCGGCGACGCCAAGGATTCGTCCGCTGACGAAGGAGCGGCGGCCTCTTCTTTGGCCGGATCCTCGTTGTCCAGTGCTTCCGAGGCTCCAGTTTCGGATAAGGTGAGCAAAGGATCCATCTGTTGCCAACAGAAGTTGTTCAAGAGGTCTAAATCGCTGCATTGCGGGGACTCTGTACTTTTCACAGGTATCACAAATGCAATAAATCCCACCCACACTCATGGTCGCAAAAATAGCAGTGCGATTTTAGGCTATTAGGATTATTTGATCAGGACTTCTAGAATTGGTATTCCGGAGATTTCGAGTGTAATATTATATTTGTTCAGCTAGTTAAATTTAATTTAAATTATAGAGCAAAAATAGAGTAGAAACTTTAATGTCGTTCCTGAACCTTACTAAACAATGTGTTACATATTAATGGATCTTTTCCCTAATTTATAAGGATTAAAATAATAATTTTCCAATAAATTTAAATTGAAGAAATACATTTCTGAAGAGATACATTTTTAAAAGTAATTGACCTACGCAGGTCTACTTTTTAGTTGATATAGGTAATATTCTGCTGATATAATATTTAAGACTTAAAAGACATGAATTAAATACCGACTTTAGAATAGTTTATTATTGATTTTAAGTGTCCCATTAAACTGCGTAAAATGGCTGTTACCTTATTTCGTTAATGTTGTTACATTTAGTTTGTAAAAAGGCCAGAAAAAATAAAAAGGTTAGCTGTATTTTATTTGTGAATTCTAATGAAGTAAAACAGACTTTCCCATTAATTAATTATATGATGTATATTTAATATATTTAACTGACTGATTTATCAATTCTCCATTCTTTTAGGGCTACGGAGGCTTCAATGAAAACTTCAAGATGGTTCTGGTGGTACGCAACGACCTCAAGATGGGCAAGGGAAAGATCGCCGCCCAATGCGGTCACGGAGCTGTGGGCGCTTACCAACGGGCGGTGGCCAGGACGCCCCGCTTGCTGAGGGCGTGGGAAAACTGTGGATGCGCCAAAATCGCCGTGCGCGTGGAGAGCGAGGCGGAGCTAATGGCCATCAAGAAAGCCGCCGAGCGCCAGCAGCTGAACACCTGCCTCATCCGCGACGCGGGTCGCACCCAGATCGAGGCGAACTCCAAGACTGTGCTGGCCGTGGGTCCAGCGGCTGCCGTGGACATCGACCGGGTCACCGGCCACCTGAAGCTGCTGTAAGATCCGCACTGCGGAACTCTTGCAGGCCATGAGGCATCACTTACTCACTCGAGTGCAACCCGACAATTCTCAAAGCAATAGGGCGCATGGGTGGAGCGGTGGATGAGGCTGGAGGTGGCGTCATGCCGCCGAGGAGGAGGCGAATGGGAGACGACGACTGTGACACGCAAGTTAAGCTAAGATTTACGTTATCACGTTAACTGTGAACCGAGCTATTACACATTAAATGATTGGCAGTCCGGCCTGGAACTGCAAAGCTCCTAAGCAAATGGCTTTGGTGGGGGTTCAAATGCACAATCAATAGCTTAAGCTAGCTGTGTGTGCTTTATTTCTCAAAAAATGTTTAATTTTCATGCATTGGGAAAATTAAAATAAAAATTAAGAAACTGTTTTGGGGGACAAATATATTTGTTTTATATGTGAAAAGTTCAGTCACTTAAAATATCTGTGTTCAGAGCCCCAAGTGGAAATAAGTATTTATATTGAGAATTGAAATAAAAAGAATCATCATTTTTTTCTACATGAAAAAGAAAAATGGCTTGATAAAAAATTCTGTAGGTGAAGAAATTAAATTTTTACGAAACTTAAATTTTGATAAAAAAAAAGTACTAGTTTTTCAAGAATTTGCCATCAGAAAATGTTTTACTTTTAAAATTATGACAGTTTTAAAAGTCAAGCCAAAAAAACAATGATCATCTTTAAAGCGGTAGAAAAATTATTTTTTATATAGAGGCATTTGCCTAATGCAACTGTTTTTTAGCTTCTTACAACTAACAATAATTATAAATGAAACTTAAGCATTAGAAAGTCCAGGCGTAATCATTGTCTCCCTGCGGAGTCTGTGGCTGCTGCAGTTGCTCTGGTTGCAGTTGAGACATCGGCTGCTGCTGCATCACTTGGTGATGCATCTGTTCCATCCCCTGCACTTCCAGCAAGTGCGGAGGCGGCTGGTAGTCGAGGGTCGTGGGCTCGTTGGACGAATCCACCATGTAGATCTGCGACTGTGATGGCTGCCCCATTTGCTGGTGGTGCTGTAAGGCGTAGTCTCCGTCGTCGAAGACCTCCTTCTTAATCCGCACCCGGGAACCATCGTCCTCCTCGTCGCTCTCCGAAATGTCCAGGTCATCGACTATGCCCATGCCGTTGTTCAAGTTATTGGTAGGCATTTCCTGTGGCATTTGCAAAGCCATCGAATCATCCTCGTGAGACGAAAGACCCATTCCCATTGCTGAAGCGGCTGCTGCACTTGTGCTGGCTTCAGGGGGATTGTATGGCCCATTATCATCCTGATCATGGGAGAGGAAATTGGTGAAGGCGCCCTGCAAGCTGCTGGGCTCGCCGAGATTCTGGCGCTGCTTGTGCATGGCCAGGAAGTCGGACGGGTCGTAGTTGGGGTCTACATCCATGGACTCATCTGAAATATTTCGAGAATTCTAATCAGTCAGAGCGTATTTGAAGGGCGAATCAATTAAGGAGTTAAGGTGGGGTAGGAAGATGGACATCGAGAGGGCACAACACAAACACTTAGTAAGGATAATAAAGACCTTGCTGCTGTTGAGCATAGTAGCCAGCGCCCACGCCACTCAACTGCACCATTGCTTCTGCCACTTGCTGGCTGTCATCCTCGCCGACCGGCTCCTCTGCTTAGGCGATTTGGGTAAAATCAGAAACAGAAACAAAATCCAAACAAAGTCAGCGATTGAAAGTGGTTTTCAGATTAGTATAGAACTTTGAAACAGGGACCAATAACCGTAATAAATAAAAGTTTTATTATAAAACCTACTATATTTATTACTACTTTGTTATAGAATTGGGTTAATCATTTTGGGTTAGGTATGGGGAATATCAAATATCGCTCCCGCAAATACTCACAGTATTTAGTAATCATTGATTATAAATTATTTTTCAGTTATGAATTAAATATAGAAATGTAATAAAAAAATCATTTTATTAAGCCAAGTTAGGACAAATCGAGTAATTTCCCATCGAAGCGAGTCCGCTGTTAATTAAGTTATAATATTAAATGCGTTTTAATTCTTTAATTTATTTATATTACACAGCCCTGTGTCTAAAATATTTCGCAAATATTTTTTTCAATCCATTTTTCATAACCTTTGCTTCTTTTAACGAGTAACAAAAAAAAAAAACTCTAAAAAATATAACGATAAAACTTGAACTGGAAAGAAATTTATGAACAACGGAATAGGATGTAAACAACTTTTAAACAAGTCGATTGCACTAAGACAGACACAGACCGAAAGGTCGATTTAAACTCGTCTGGTGTCGCTTATTAACAATATTTATCTTTTATAAGGTCGGAAATGTCTTGTTACAAATATCTGACCAAAACTAAAATATCGTCTGCAAGAGTAAAATAATCAGTTTCCAGTGACATTTTCTTTTCCATTAATTTTAGTATTATATACTAGTTTTAATTTGACAAAATGGTTTGAAAAATTCTCTGCTGATAAGCTCTATTCTCCAATAAAAAAATGATTAGTAAATAAATGGTTGATAATATAATAATTTTTATGCTTAAATTTTCATTTTGTTCTGATTTATATTGTACGCAGGAAGGTTTGATTATTATTTGTATCAGAAAGATATAAAAAATTCCTTTTATAATACCAACCGACCTATTTAACTCCCGATACCCAATTTTATAATTAGATTAATGCTTAAATTAACAAGAACAATACCCGTGCCAGAGACAGATTTGAAAAAACAGGCCTTTGGCCGGATGTACCCACCTGCCATCTGCTGAGCTTCGATGTCGATCTCCGTCTTAATGTTCTTGGGATCAAACATGCCATCCATGCCATCGGCGGGGGCATGAATGCGTTCGCCCTGATCCAAAATGCTGGCCGCATTGTTCTCGTCTTCTGAGACCTCCTGGAAGTCTTCCTCCTCATCATCATCCTCGTCGTCCGTCGAACATTGCAGGTCTAATGGAAAGCAACATAATTTTAATAAAAATTCCAATATTTGTGGATTGTGCATTACCAACAACTGAAATAAAATGTCATTTACATTTAAAATTTGTAAAAAGGTAAAATCGAATTTAAATCTAAAAGACATGCAAAACAACAGCTAATAAGTCAAGTATCTAAGGTTAGCACTAAAGTTAATCTAAGCTAAAAGATCCAAACCAAAAATGAGGTGCGTGTGAAAAAGCTGTTGGGGTGTCAATCAATTTTGGATTTCATGTGTATTAAACAATTAATGCAAGTAAGTGTTTGTTGGGTGGCCCGCTGGCTTAGTTCCGATTAGTCGGCGATTAGAGGCTTACCTTCATCCAGGAAGTAAGCTTGCGTCTGACTCATGTTTGAGGCAAGGCTGTCCTTCCTCGGACGCCCCCGACCACGCTTAACCGGATTCTGGGATTTGACTAGAAAAAGGTAAAAGTTTTTGCAGTTCGTATGTGGCAACAGTATCAGGATTTTCAGTCTTTTTCATTTGTTCGTGTATAAGGCTTGACTTAATTGGGATTCCCGCTAAGCAAAGTGCGTTTGGCCAGAAATAAACACACAAGTACTTCGTCTGGCTTAAAATCTGGGTATCTACAAAATCTCCTTCTATATAAACGGTCGAATACAAACTGTTAATTAGTTCATTCATATTATCCCTGAAATAAGCTTAGGCATAGTCAAAAACATTTTTATATCCAATTTTAAATTTAAAATTAAAGCAAACTCTCGCAATCTAAAGCTTAAAACATTATTTCTTAAGTAAAAATATATATTACAACAAATATATGACAAAAATATATCTCACTTACTTCATTTTAATTAGCTATAATTGAAACGCTAAATTCAACAAGTTAACAGATCAATTCAAATTTGTTTGGGCTCACTATAAATTTAGGTTCATGCATTCCGATGATTTCAATAGTAATATTTGCTCAATATCTACACGAAGTCTATACAATGAATCAGATTTTATATAAACATCATTCATTCACAAATCAAATTTTACTACACTTAAATTGGAGTAATAGTCTGGGATTAGTATAAGCATATGGATCCATTCGGATCCGTGTCAACCGTAACCAGAGGGTTTGCCATATGCAAATTTTGTATAAAATGCTTATAAATTACTGATTTTGAAATGTAGGAGGAAGCGTGATCAATACCAATAGTTCTTTAGTCCAGAAAAGACAGTAAATGTAGAAATGTATATGTATGCAATTGTAGAGATAGAGCCACAGATCCTAGACCGATCAGGCGAATTTAAAATTAGGAAACAGACCCTGGCCCACTTACCCTCCTCCACGGGATCGCGCTGCTTGCGAGGTCTTCCCCTTCCGCGCTTTACCTCCCCCGGTCCAGGAGGTGGAGGCTTCCGCGATGAGGGCGCGGGATGGGACATGCCCATCTCCGCTCCCATTCCGCGATGGATGGAGTTCGATGAGGAGGCATGTCCCACATGGCCCTCCACATCGATGTAGTCATCGCCGGGGGAGCTAGCCCGACTGCCTCGGTCAAAGTTGTAGTCATCATTGCCCCAGGCTTCATCTAACTCGGGTGCATTCTCCCTAGCGCGCTCCTGTGTCTTAGCTATGTTATCCTCCAACTGAGAGCAGTGATCCGTAAACTGGAGTAGAACAATAATATAAGCTTAACTGATGAGCATTTAATATGGTCAACATACCTCTACCAACTGGAATTGCGCGTACTCCAGTATCTTCTTGGCGAACTTGGTGTAGCGGGTATCGCTGCCATTGTACTGTTCACAGTTGGTGGCAATCAATTCAATGTCACCCAGATACTCGGCTCGACTGTGATAACGATGAGCTGGATTAAATAGTAGGATATGTATACGTAAAAAATATGACTTTAGTCTTTAAAGGCATTCGCCTGAGGAGAACCGACGGTAAAGTGGATGGGACCATTAAGAAAATATAGGCTATTCGCTCTGAATACACAAGCGACACCAGTTGTTTAAAAGCATTTTAGTACCGAAATTTAGAGGGCTTTCCAAAAAGTTTTTTTTTAACAATTTCGATCTGAATACATATAAGATTCTAGTTGTTCAATAAAAGCATTTTAGTTTCCAAAAAGTTATTTTAATCAAATTTTTTCAATTTTTTAAAACTCGAGCTTAAAATCTTTGCGTTACTACTATTCTATTTCATTATCTATTTATTTTTATACCCTTGCAGAGGGTATTATAATTTTGGTCAAAAGTGTGCAACGCAGTGAAGGAGACATCTCCGACCCTATAAAGTATATATATTCTTGATCAGGATCACCTCCTGAGTTGATATAGCCATGTCCGTCTGTCCGTCTGTCCGTCTGTCCGTCTGTCCGTCTGTCCGTCTGTCTGTCCGTCTGTCTGTTTCTACGCGAACTAGTCTCTCAGTTTTAAAGATATCGAATTGAAACTTTGCACACACCCTTCTTTCCTTTGCACGCAGTATATAAGTCGGAACGGCCGGGATCGGCCGACTATATCCTATAGCTGCCATATAACTGATTGATCGGAAATGCCATAACTCTGCTGTTTGTTAAGTTAGGAAGTTGGGACTCTCTATGGGTATTATATTTGGCCAATCAATCCGACGTACCAAATTTCATAAGGATCGGCCGACTATATCCTATAGCTGCTATATAACTGATTGATCGGAAATGCCATAACTTTGGTGTTTGTAAAGTTAGGAAGCTGGGATTTTCTATGGGTTTTATATTTGACCAATTAATCCGACCTATTAAATTTCATAAGGATCGGACGACTATATCTTATAGCTGCCATATAACTGATTGATCGGAAATGCCATAACTTTGGTGTTTGTTAAGTTAGAAAGTTGGGACCTTCTATAAGTTTTATATTTGGCCAATCAATCCGACGTACCAAATTTCATAAGGATCGGCCGAATATATCCTATAGCTGCTATATAACTGAACGATTGGAAATGCCATAACTTTGGTGTTTTTAAAGTTAGGAAGTTTGGATTTTTTATGAGTATTAAGAATGCATCATATGAATAATTTTTGAGAATATAATTTGCAGAATATTCTGCAAGGGTATTTCAACTTCGGCTCCGCCCGAAGTTAGCTTTCCTTTCTTGTTAAATTTAAATTTACTCTCTTAATTTGAACTTTTTTTTGCTCATGATTATTTTTAAGCCCGAATGGCATTTATAGTACGATGAGAGCCAAAATTTGTTGTTCGTTTAATTTTGTATTATAAAATAAAAGATTGATTGAAAAGATCGACTCACCTTCAATGTTTTTGCCGATGGTTTCGAGGTCCATGGGTCGCTTTATGACCGTGTAATAGTCTTTCACCTGTTTCTTGTTGACTGGCTTAAGGAAAGGCCAGCTTTCGGTTAGCTGTTTGATCTGCGTGTGCAGCTTTTCGAAAATAAAGGAGAGCGCCACTTGGTCGTCGTCGTCCAAGAGCGGGTTTATGGCCTTCTCCAGGCGCATTAGCTTATCCTCCCGCTCGGCTAGCAACTCAAAGCAGCTGGAGAACATGCGCTGGGCGGCCACGGTGTAGGCACTTTGCGATCCATTGTAGATCAGCGAATTGTCTACGATTTGCTTTAGATCTTCTAGGAACATCTCCCGACTTGTATAGCGTCTCTGGCGAATATACTCCCTCATCGTCTGCAGATCCATGGGCTTGCTCACCACGCGGTAGTAGTCGGGCACCCGCTTCGCATTCACAGGGAACAGGAAAGGCGAGACATCCGGCATGGAGCGCAGTTCGTTGAGGATGAGCTCCAGAATGGAAGACAACACCACCACGGGATCAGTGCGTCGCCGATTGGCGGTCTTGTTGTGACGCTGAAGGTAGTCGCAATGGAGGTCGCCACCCACTCTGCGTTTCTTCTTTCCCATCGCATCCCGGGGAACCTTTAAGGTAAGACCCGAGCTGGAGCCACTGCGTCGCTTGCCGTCATCACCGCCATGCCGCTTGAGCACCTTGCTGCTCAGTGTCACCTTTGTGCCATCGACATTGACCAGATCGTCGTCGTCCATGGTCATCTCCTTTTCGCTCTGCTCGTCCAAATCATCGGCTAGCGAGGGATTCGACTGGGACAGACTGCTCTGCATGCCCGTGTACAGCGGACAGGCCTTGTTCGTGCGCATATGACCCACCTGCCCACAAGCGCCGCACTTCAGCTTCAGGTCCGGCTTGAGCTTGAACTTTTTGCGTGAAGGACTGACTTCCTTGTACCCACTATCACGCTCCTTATGAGAGTGGCCGCCCGAGCTCTTGGGATCGCCCAACGATGTGGGCATGCCACCTGGCTGCAGCTTCTGGTTCTGAGCCAGCTGCGCTAGACGTTCGCGCTCCTGGTTGCGCTTGATGCGACGCAGCTGCTCCTGGATGCGCCTCTTCTCGCGTTTCATCTCCTCCTTCTGCTGCTCGTCTAGCGTGGCGAACTGCTTGATGAACTGCTCGTCCTTGGTGGTGCGAATCTTGATGTAGGCATCGATCACCGGCTGCCGCCGCACAGTCTCCACGCGGGTATACTCCTTGCCGTCGTTGCCTCTGAAGGTACGCGTGATGCGAAGAATCCTGCCCTGGTTACTGGTCGCCAGCATTTGCTGGCCGGCGTCCTCCTTGCCTTTGGCTCCCTTGGCGCCTCCACTGCCGCTTGGTCCGCCGTGCTCTTCGTCTAGCTGACGGAGCAATTCCTGGCGCTCCAGCTCCTCACGTTCCATCGACAACTGCGTTGAGGTCTTTTTGTTGGACAGCATGTTCTCTAGGTTCTTGCCCAGTTCTTCGAGGTCGGACTCCTCGGAGGCTGAGGACTCCGCTTCGTCGGTGGATAGCACTTCCGAGCTGGCGAGCACTCGGTTCTGCAGGTCGAAGATACGCTGGCACTCTTCCTTGTAACGCTCCTGGTGCTCAGCAATGGAGAATCTGTTGCCACGAGAGAACTTATCCATTCCCTCCTCACCTGCTTTTGCTTTCTCCGTGGACAGTGTGCGCACCACATCAATGACCTCCCAGCGGGAAAGTTTCTTGATCTCTTCCTCGGGCACCTTGAACTGGCGCAGAAGCTCTTTTGCACGCTGGAGTGGCAATCGACGCAGATCCGCATCGGTTCCTGTGACCGACCGTTTTGGCTGCGACTCTTGCTCCTCCTTGGTTTGCTGTGCACCGAAAGGGAAAACAAATATTAGTATTAAATAACCCATATTATTGACGTTTACAGTCAGTTACTTTACCGTGGGTTTGTTCGGTACGCGAACATAAGAGAATCCCTCTCCACAGCCAGTAGGATCCGCGGGACCACTAAGCTGGAGCAAACACTTTCCACGCATGGCTTGGATGTATGCACGAGTTGTATTCCAGGGCGCCACCTTTACTTCGTCGTCAAGTTTTAATTGCGCCTCCTCGTCGTCATCCTCTTGTGGGGCAAACAAAAATTTCTCTCCGTAGCCTGCGTCCTAAAAATAGGGATATGGAATATATGTGTTAAAAATAATTTGTTTCTTTCTCAATGAATTCTAATATTCATTTAAACTGAAGAACGGCTAACGGTGCTATAGGAAATATGTATATATAAATAAATGCCCATGTATTCGGCATCATAAACACTTAGCATTTTAACACTTTATTTAAGAGTTCTTGATGAAAACAATACAGAAAGTTATACTAAAGCACTCACCTTGAGGCGCTGTTCTGCCGCGATCATACTGAAGTAGGCACAGCACTGCTCCGGCGAGACCATGGCCCGGATCTCCTCCTCGGAGGGCAGGCGAAACTCCGGTTTGATCACCCACCAATTGGAGTCCATGCCCGTACGCTTGAAGTCGGCGCACTGCTTCAGCCGCTTGCGGATGCTGCTCTCGGAATGGGCGGGAAAAGCCCGCTTTATGTCGTCCATCCGAATGCGGCGCGGATTGTCGCGACTCTTCCAGAACAAGCGGTAGATGAAGACCTGATGATACAAATAAAATATAAACTTGTGAATGATAGTTAGGATCTCGGCACCTACCTGCAGAAAGTCGCGCGTGAAGTTGTTAGCACGCTTGGAGTTCGGACCCGGAACCTCGTACAGCGGACACTCCTGGCCCACCGTGAAGATCGAGTTTACCGATCGGATCCAGTAGCTGTTCCGGGTGCGAATCACGAGGAAATCGTTGTGGGCCATCTTGTGTGGATAAATGGGCGCCCGGTACATGTTGTTCTCAATCGCCTGGATGCACTGTCCAGGATGTAGGATGCCCAGAAATGGACTGGTGTGCGCGAAGGCCACCTCTCCGTAGACATAATCCTGTGGGCCGCTGTCCTTCTCGGCTTTGCGCTTGTAGTAGTTTTTGATCTTGGAGCACATGCCCACTTGGTTCATAAGCGGAGGGTGCTCCTCACAGAACTCAGCCAGCACAATATCTCCATCCCTGCCACTCAGGTCCTCCGGGTTGCGCATGAAAAAGACATCTCCGCCGCCAGAGGCGATACGCTCCACCTCCCGCTGCTTGGCCTTTTTCGCGATGGTCTTCAGCAGTGGGAACACTTGATGTGGCGTCACCTGAGCCATCGGTCCGTGTGAGTACTTCTTGAGAGGAGGACGATGGAAGGAGCGAAGCTTCATCGGGCCCATGTGCGTTGGCACGAACGGGGCACGTAATTCCACCACAGGAGTCGAGTGCTGGATGAGATTTCCACCACCCACCTTAAGGCGCAGCGTCGGTTCTGTCTTGGGTGTGTAGTACCTGCAGAAGGATCATACATTACTTTCTACTTCTATAAAATCTTCAAGAGACTCACGTGTCGTTGGATATGTTGAAGGGGTCACGGTCGGGACTTTTGGGTGGCGGCGGTGGCGTATCCTCTGCCAGCACATTAATCACACCAGCCTTGCCAAGCAAGATTTTGGATTTCTTTACGTGCGGATGAGGTATCTTGATTTTAGGTGGAGGACCTGTGCTCTTGTTGATCTTAGAGGGATCGATGTCGTCGGGTATGCCCAGGATTATGTTCTCATCGTTAGGGTCCAAAGTGAGTACCTTTGGCTTGGGAACCTTACTCATTTGCTGCGCATCCCAGATTACCTCGTCCTCCCACTTGTGGTATATTAGCTCCTCGTTCTCGACCGGGAACAGACTGTACCAGGTGTCATCGGGTGCCTCCGCTGGCTTCGTTTGAGCACTAAAATTGAGAGGAATATTAGTCCGAAGAACTGAGTAATTGTATAAACAAAATTTTACTTTTGCTGGCCCTTCTTGCTAGATGCAGCCGAGCCCTGCTTGGAGCTACCACTGCTATTGCCCACTGGCAGGGAGGTTTTTCCCGGCTGGCTGAAGGCGCCGGCAGTCCGTGATCCACTGGAGGGCAGCCATCCAGCCGCATTTGTCTTCGAGTTGAGTTTCTGCAACACCTTGGCCTTGATGTCGTTGCCATCCCAGACAACGTCGTCTTCCCAGTGCAGCTGGGAGACCATTAGAAAGGCATCGTCCGCAATACTTGGCTCCGCTTCCTCTCCCTCAGGACTATTTTCATGATGCTCCTCCTTGATCTGCGGCTGGGAGGAGGAAGTTGCCGCCTTTGTCTTAAAGCCGTAATTGAATCCTTCGCCGGAGTCAGGCACCTCCAACATGTCGTACCAAATCTGAGCCGGTCCATAGCGCCAGTCGGCCACCTTTGGTTTCTGGTCGCTGTTCTCCCCGTTTTCCGGTCCCTCGGGACGCACGTCCTCGCTGTTGAAGTCACCCAGCAGTTTGTCCTCGTCGTCGGACATGCATTCTGCCGGCGTTGGCTCCGAGGCGTAGTGCAGACTAAAGCCGCGCTTTCGAGGCTCCTCCGTATCGCTCGGCGAATCAGAGCCACCGGTATTGGTCAGCTGCAAGGAAATAAGGGTTCACATGAAGAGAAGAACTAGCTAAGGCTTATCGATAATTAAATTCAATTCTTATGTAGCTGTGATCTTATAATTTATGTTAAGTAATAAAGCCTACCTTCTGATCCCTGGACTGGTTGCGCTTTCGGCGACGTTTGCGCACGTGTCGCCAGATCTGGGGCAGACTAGTGGGTTTGCCTGGTCCAAACAGACGCGAGAAGCGCAGCACCTTTTGAGGGCGGAAGTCGGGAAAGAGCTCGCGCACATTGACATTTTGGTACTTCGAGGGCAGTATGTCGGCTAGCGGTGTGTCCAGCTTGCGGTCCGCATCTGAAAGTCATTAGTTGTATAAATATAGCATCCTATGCTACTTTTATAAAAGAAGTTTACCCTTGGCATCGTTGGACTTGGAATCGCCACTGGGACTCGTGGCATCATTTGATTTGCCAGGCTCATCAGTCCCGCTGCCAGTGCCCGATCGCATGGGAGCACTTGGTGGTGGCATTAGTTCTTTATCGTCCTTAGCTACAAAAGAATAAAGTGGATTCGATACTAAACTTAATTGTTTTTTATACTTTTGAAGAAAAGTTGTTTTTTCTATGGTTGCTTGCAAATTTGTCAGCTCCTAATCGAACAATTCGTTTAAAAAGGCAAATATTTTTGAAGTGTCACTTTGACAGAAAAGACCTCGATAATGAGGCGCATAAGAAATATAATCTTTAGCAAAAAGGGCCAACAATAATGACAGCAGTGGAAGGTAGGCCCATATTTGTTCGGCAGACAATTTGACTATGCAGTTTCAATTGCTTAAATCAAAAAAATAGGAAAATCTAAAAGGGCATTTATGGTAACATTCACCTCAGTGAAATATCCAATACTGCGCAAGAGCTAATTACAACGCATAAAAGGTAAAGATTGAGATAAAGATTTAGCTTCAGATTCTAACACGAAAAGGCTAATTAAATAATAAGGCATATTTAGCAATAGAAAAGGAACAAAATAATATCTGTATTTTAGTAATAGTGGAACGAAAAATATAAAGATTATGTGTTAAGTTTAACCGTATATGCTATTTTTCATAGAAACGGTGTTTTATTTGTATTTGGAATTTGGTTTTAATTTGTAAGGCTATCGATTTTTGTCGTTGCTTGTTCTGCAGGAAAATGGGCTATTGGTTTTCCGACATTACTTACTTAACTTGGTCTCCACTTTAGAGGCGGGAATGGCATCCTCTAGGTCGTCGTAGGAGGATGTGTCTTCCGGCGGAGTGCGTGGGCAATCCTCGGATAACTCGGTAATATCCGAGTAGTCGATGGCATCGTCCTGAGCTCTTACGGCACCATCCTCCTTTTCGTCACTTTTTACGCCGGCCTTGAGGGCGTCGAAGACACTAAGTCCTCCGCTGGCACTGGCCTCAGACTTATCTTCATCCTCGTCTTCGGACAATGGTTCGGCCTCCTTGCGGTCGATAACCTCAAGCAGCATTGAGTCCAAGCCCAATCTAAAAGAGATTTATATTAATTAGTTAGTTATCGATGAAAAACGATTTAAATAAGATAAGCATATGTAGTTTCTACATAAATTTAGTTATTTTACACTTTAAACGACCAACCCAATTTCAACCAAATATATTTAGCTAAGTTGGCTTTTAAATTTACCCTAAACATTGATTAAATATAAATTTTGTTCAAATAAACAAGCTGTGGTTTAGGTTGCAGTGAGAATCAGGTTACTTGTGCAGGGCTCTACTATAAAAGATTAAATATACCAGAAGTTATTTAATATGCTTACGGCACTTTAAAAGTGTTTCAAATTATAATTCGTTGTGTTATGGTGTATGCCACTTAACGAAAGACATACATAGTTTAATCTCAATATAAGCCTGTTGTTTCAAGTTCATAAAAAGGTAAGGAAAAAAGACAACTGGTAACTTGTTGCTGCTGGGCAAGTTAAATAAAAGATAAATCTCGATTTGTAGACTGACGCCTTAACCAATGTGTTATCCGCAAGAACCTCTCTTCCAGAAAGCTTCACTCACTTGGACAGGGATCCAATGTTTTCCCGGAGTTCCGCATCGAACCCAGTGCCCCCGCGTCCTTCGCCGTCATCGTCCAGCAATCTGCCCTCGGAGTCGATGTTGCCAAAGAGAATACCGGTCAAGTCCAATCCATTGCCAATCGATCCCTCGTCGTCACTGTTGTCAGATTCCATCTCCATTTCCATCGGCTTTCAATGTTTACGCGGCTAAAATGTTGTCTCTTTTGTCGGAGCGCAGCGTAATTGCATTTTTTCACAAGACACGATTAAGTGTGACCGCCGCTGGAAATCTTAAAATTACTACAAAATTATCTCCATACTGCCAAAAGAAATGGTGGTAAACTTGGGAAATTTATTGTGCTGTGTACTTACAGTGGGGTCACAGCATATTTGGCATACCTCTTCCAATATTCATAAAAATGATTAAATTTTACTAATTCAAAAAAAAAAAAACAAAAATAACAGAAACTAAACATGCTCTTACAATCATCACAGATGGTTCTCGGGTTTTTAATTTTTTGATGAAACTTGAATAATAAATGTCTTGAAAATCCTAATATCTGACCTTTTTGGTCTAAAACTTAATTTAATTATCAGAAACCTATTCCTCTGTTAAACGATCTCAAAATAAACATGACTTTATGTGTCCTTTCCAAATATCCCAGCAGATAAAATGAATGCATTAAAAAAATATTCACCCGAATAATCTTAAATTTGTATATGTTACTTAGTAAGTCAGTAGATAAGTCCGCACCTCGAACATTTTGTTGTTGTCCTAGCACTTGTTGCATTAGCAGCTAGCTAACGTAGCTAAAGGATGGCAAATTAATATGCACATTAGGGTGGTTACAAAAAACCCTTACGCTCATCAGTTAAAAAAAATTAGTTTTAATTAATGTCATAAACATTGATGCCAATGTGCAATTTTACTGACATGTCGTAAATACACCAAAGCGACTAGTATAAGACTAGGACCTTAAAATTTTCATACAAATTTATCTGCACCACTCACTTGTTCACTTTCCCTTGCCCTAAACAAACATCACTTTTTCCTACCGGAGCTGCATAAAAATATTTCAATATCTTTTTTCATTTTGTTCGATTTGCATCTCCTTATATAGGCTTCCCCGAGGCTTCAAGAAGTGGAATTGGTTCATTGAAATTCGAACATTTAGAACTACCAAGCCTCAATTTATTTTAAAGTTGTATTTTATTTTAAAGTAACCAGATGGATCGTATAGTTACAGAAGCTATATTATCTATTTGATAATCGACGCGTTACATCTCGGTGAAAATCATTTAATCGCAATGTTTGGGTTGGGAGCATTTAGTAGGGCTTGGATATTGAACCAGTCATGTCTTAAAGAATCCTTGTGATTCTAGGCAGCATTTCTCTACAAAGCAGTCCAACATCGATTTGTTGATGGATGCCCCTTTGTTGTGATTAAGGTGAACCAGGTCCTGAATGGCAACTTGCTTATTTTGGAAGCGTCTTCCGTTTCCAAATTGTCGGTATCTAAAATTATGTAGCTTTAAGCTTGATTTCATGCTAATTTTAACTCACCTTTGAGGCATCATGTATTTTAAGTTGCTACGCAAGACTTTTTTTCCCAGATATGGACAAACAACAAACTTGGAAAAATTGAATGTCGAATAGAAACTGAAAAAGTCGGCTAATTTTTTGCGAGCTTGGTATCCATTTACTGGAACTTGCTCTATATTCAATTCGAATAACTTAAAATTACAAAATTTAGTTATCCACGCTGCGAATGGATTGAATAAATACACGATATAGCTTAATGATTATGAGGCAGTAATAGAAAGGGTTAATTATTTTAAGTATGGAAAGCGGCAAGAGATTAAACATTTCTATTGCTACCTCAAAGAGCTAATATGTACTCACGACCAACATCGGGTTTCAGACCATTTTGAAGCATGTAGATGGTTGGCAGATGTCTGCGCACTTGTAGAATGAATATTACCATAAGGACGAGCAAGTGGCTGCGAAAGGCCGAGTGAATCTGCTGTCTTTCAGCCCATCCCCTTAGATAGACGACCATGTAGCGAGCTGGCAAAAATAGTAACCATTAACTTGTGACTTTTGGGTCACCAACAACACCCACCGATTGGCTGCAGTTCGAAAATGTAGTTAACCAGCTTGATCTGGCCACAGGTCATGCTGTTCGAGAAGCTAATGTCGCACTGGATATTTGAGTTCTTGTGACGGACAACGACTAGAGGGCATCTGCCTTCGCAATTTTTCAAAAAGGCCCACTTTGAGGGATCCTTTCGAATAGCTTGGGCTATGACCATCTGCTGTTCGAGAACTTTTTTTGTCGGCTTATCGCTGTATACACCGCTGCAATTGCCTGCCACCAAATATATTGCTTATGAGTATTTCAGGTTTCTAGGAAATGCTCTTACCAATATCAACGTATATGTCAAGATCGGAGTCGTCACCGGCAATTCCCAATATTCGCGAGCCAAACAGATGGATTTGGATTAGCTGGGAAGGAAACTCCGGTCGCAGGGTCTTTTTTAGTTCATTTGAAATCTTTTGGTTGAGGCTCACATTGTCTTGCTTTTTCGTGGCCCTGCGTACATCATTTAAAAGAGAAAACCAAAAGTTCCGCCTTGCTTTTGAAGTAGGTCTATCAGAATCAGAACGAATATTTATGGCCAATTTGAAACTGCGATCCATTTTCAGTCACTAAAAGTTTACTAGTTTTATTTGAACCAGCTCGCACTATAAAATTCCCCGAATTAGAAAAATGGATTATGAAGGGCAGTGTGGCCATGATTTACAAATAATGTGCTTCTCAGTGCCTCATTAATGTCCCATTTACACCGCGCCGCTCTTTTCTAACTGGTCGAAAAAACGTCTTTCGACTTAAGCTGCTTAATACGCCAAAGAATACTGCACTTTAAATTAGCAAATAATTATCAGAAAATTAAAAAAACTATTAAATTTAAATTGTTTTTTTAATTTTTCTGTACAGTGGTACCTTGTCTTGACAAGGTAGTTGAGAGTATCCTTTAAAGAATCTTTCCCGCTAACAAGATTTTTGAATTTTTACTGTTGGTCAACAAGCCCGGTTTATTGACAGTACGACAGTAGAACACTCAATTCTAATGAACTGAAAAAAAATACTGTCACACTGGAAAGGTTAATGTTTTTCCACTGGCGAACTCGATTTTCGATCTGAGTACTTATGCTTATAACGATAGGAATTTCTGGGCTTATCGGAAATGTAACCTTTTTTCAGAGAGGTTATTTGTATTTATTTATTAAATTTTATATCAGAAGTGCCAATTTTCAGAAATATCTACGAAATAAAATATAAAAAACTCAGCAAAATTTCTGAAATAATAAAAAATAATTTCAGATTAAGGAATTCGATTTGAGTCTAATTTGAAAACACCTAAGCTTTAAAACTACATATGTATGTACATATGTAGTTTCAAAGAAACCTTTCAGAACGTTAATATTGTTGTTATCAGCGGCGGGAAGGCCGTCTTATCATCTGAGCCAATTGTAGAGAGAATTGCACGTGCGGACTGATAAGCGGGTTTTGATTAGACAGAGATTAGTGCAAGCTCTTCCAGCTAAAAACTACAGTGTTCAGTATTTGTTCACAATCGAAACGAACAGACGTAGAGCAGTGGAATATGGCTGGAGAAACAGTAATTTTGGCCTATTCTGGTGGCCTAGACACTAGCTGCATTCTTAAATGGTTGTTGGACAAGCAGTATGAGGTCATCTGCGTCTTAGCCGATGTTGGTCAGCAGGAGGACTTTGTCGCCGCCGAGAAGAAAGCTCTCAAAATTGGGGCTAAAAAGGTTAGCTGAGCAGAAGCTGAAAAAGCGCACTTACATACATATGTACATACATTCTATCTTTCATAAAAATAACATTACTATATAACAAAAAGGGAATAACTTCTATTAAATCTGCAAATATTTTTGGAAAAGTATTAAAGTAAAATTGACAAGGATATTTTTTTAATAAAAACAGAAACTTAAAAAAGGAGTTAATGTCGAAATAAATTTTCATTTGAATAATTATTATTAATTTATCTCAGCCCTCCTGTTTTTTTTAGTTTATTTTTTTAACTTAAAATTTATATTACCAATACCTGGACTTAATTTAATTATTTTGATTACCCATTATAAAGACGTATAGTAACTTGGTTATCCTCCTGACTTTTAGGTGATCGTGGCCGATGTGAAGCAGTCCTTCGTGGAGAACTATATCTGGCCGTCCATTCAGATGGGTCTCGTCTACGAGGAGCGCTATCTGCTGGGCACTTCTCTGGCCAGGCCCTGCATCAGTGTGGCCCTAATGGAGGCAGCCCGCCAGTGTGGAGCCAAGTATCTGGCCCATGGAGCCACCGGAAAGGGAAACGACCAGGTGCGCTTCGAGCTGTGCGCCTACGCCCTCAAACCGGATCTTAAGGTACGTCCGAACATCCGAGCAGTATCTGGCCGGCTGATAACCAAAGCCAGGGACAGATTGGCCGGCTAATCAGCAGCAATACACATATTCTTCCCCAAGTCGACTTTATCTAACTTTGTCTTGCACAAATATTGATTACAAAGGTAAAAATTATCATTATCAATCTCAGTCAGAAGTTTGCCAAGGATTAAAGGAGAAATTTATGACACTATAAACTATTTATATTCTTGTTCAGCATCTCCAGGAGAGTCGATCTAGCAATGTCCGTCTGTCCATCTGTCAGTATATATGTACGTCTTTCCGTTTTACCGTCAGTCCGTCAATCCGTCTGTCCGTTTCTAAGCAAACTAGTTTATCGGGATGAAACTTTTCCAAAAATCTTCTTTCTATTGACTATATTATGTAACTCCCAATCGGAAACATAAATTATAACTTCTTCGTTTTTTATATAAAAACGAGATAAGAAAGTTTCAAATAATTTCAGAATAATGTAAGCATCAGCTTGCGTAAGTTTGCTTCCGGTCTTGTTTTTCCTGATTTCAAAACACAACAAAATTTAAATGCGAGAACTGTTAAGTATACTTGTGATTAAACTAGCTTATTGTTTTTATTTTGATATTTTTATTTTATTGGATTCAATTTTTAAGATTTATTTATAAATTTACAAAAATATTTACCTAACATAATTAAATTAATTAAACCCAAAATCAGAAGATGGCTAAAATGTTCACCAGTACTAATGTTTTAAATATTGTTTTCCATATTTTAGATCATCGCTCCCTGGCGGGATGTGGAGTTCTGTCGTCAGTTTCAGGGACGCCAGGACTTAATTGCCTACGCCCAGCAGCACGGAATCGAGGTGAGCGCCAAGCCGGCCACTCCTTGGAGCACCGATGCCAATATCCTGCACATCAGCTACGAGTCCGGCATCCTCGAGGATCCCAACACAGTGGCTCCGACTAATCTTTACGAGATGACCGTCGATCCTTTGACCAAGGCGCCTCGTGACCCGGTTCGCTTGGTCATCCAGTTTGATCAGGGACTGCCCACCGGTGTGAAGGATTTGGCAAGCAGCCGTGCTTATACCAAACCATTGGAGATGCTGGAATTTCTCAACAAGCTGGGTGGATCTTATGGCGTTGGGCGTATTGACATTGTCGAAAATCGCTATGTGGGGCTTAAGTCTCGAGGAGTGTACGAGACGCCCGGAGGCACTATCCTGTTCGCTGCTCACCAGGACCTCGAGGTCTTCGCCTTGGACCGGGAAGTGCTGCGCACCAAGCAAGTCCTGCGGGATCGGATGGCCGACTACGTGTACAACGGGTTCTGGTTCAGTCCGGAGGCGATTTATGCCCGTCGATGCATCGAGTTGGCCGAGCAGCGAGTCTCCGGAACGGTGACCGTGGAATTGGCACCCGGTTATTGCCGCGCCATCGCCCGAAAGGCGGCGGAGGATGTCGGCGCCCTTTACAACGAGCAGCTCGTATCCATGGATGTCCATGGTGGTTATGTGCCGCAGGATGCGGGCGGCTTCATCGCCATCAATGCGGTCCGGATTAGGGAACATGTCCGGGCATTCGGTGCCTACGAAGTGCCGAAGGACGACAAATAACTAAGCCATAATTTTCAAAAAATACATTCAAGTTTTTTTAATACTAATTTGGAATGGTTTGTTAATGATGGGCCATTTCATAAGGGGAACCGAAGTTAAATTTAGAAAAATTAAACCAATTTTTTTCCCTTTAAGGACGGTTTTGGGATTTTAAAATAATATACCGAAATCACTTGAAATCGACACATAACTCCAGCAAATCTTGACAGTATATTCACGATACCTTCACCGTTTTGCAGTGTGAAGAAATTCTTATATTTTCAACATTAATACTAAGACAATAAACGTACTCATCAGAAATATGACAGTTTTTCGTAAATTACTTAGGTTTTCCCCTTTATTTATAGTTTAATTAAAAGGAATTTTTTGTTGGACCTTTCACTATATGCAATTTATGAAAATAATAAATAGGTATTTTAGTGGCTGATGTTTTTATTAACGCTGTTATTTTAAGCCAGAATATAAAACAAAATTAATATTATAGGAGCAAATACAATGTACACCTTCAAACAGAATAGAAAAACGAAAATTTTCTTAATCCAAAAGCTTATTTTGATGGCTACAACACCTAAAAATATTTGACAAGTTTGATTACAAATTACTGGAATTTATTTTAGAATAACCATTGCGGCAGGCTTTTTTTTATAAAAGGGTAGCCCACAACTTTTTTAGCCAATATTAAGAGATAGATTGCCACAAAATATATATAACATAAGGGATACAAAATAATATTATACATCTATTATCTTGACAGTTCGCACAATTTCTAAAAGTAAATTTCATTAAAAAAAGGGTCCTGATCGAATTGTGAAATATACTTATACTTTTTTCTCCTTCTTCTTTCTTTTTCGTAGCTTTTTTTCTTAGGAGGCACATTATCCGTGTACAGTCCCAGCGCACTTCCAGGTGGGGTATATCTGACCACCATTATGCCGTAATGATCACTGAAAGTAAAAGGATAGTGTAGCAGGAACGTCTTAAATTATAAATAGGTAAAGGATTTTCGAGCCTAATACTTACTTTATGTCAGCGTCTCCTTACCCCATAGATCTTGAAGACCGCCAGATCATTGCAGTAAACTCTTTAGCTCTGGGATCTGTAAAATCAAGCTGGCTTCCCCGATACCACTCGCTGACACACCTTGATAGTCCTCCTCTTACTATTTCATATTTGCAGATGTTTTCTGAGTATTTTGAATTGGTGGGGTCCGAATACGTATAATTACGCTTTTTGGCAAGTTTCTGCGAAGTTAGATCACTTAAACAAGCAGGCTATTTGAGTTGATATTAACCGTACCCTAGCATACTTTGTGCAATCTGCGCTGAGAGCAATATCCAAATACAAGTTCGGACATCCATGGCGATCTCTCATTCTGTTGGTGTCCCTCAGAACTATTATGGCATTATCCCAGTTGGCTTCAATTCTGTAGACCTGAAATGAACGATTAACTCATAAACAAAAACATTAACAATATGTACCTCGCAGGCCGCCAAAAGCACCAAGATTAAAATGTTTATAAAATACATACTAAATCGTTTAAATAGGCATTTTAAGAGATTCTATATACATAATTTAACAATAAATAAAAAAATATTTAACATTTTCGAGTATCTGAAAGGTTTTTCAAAGCACGATTGTGCAGGTTGCTTAAAATTAGATTTTCGCCTACGCCAATATATCATATTTAGAAATTAGACAATTTAAAGAAAAAAGATCATACTCATGCGATTTGGTTCAAGATTAAAATGTCTTTAAAACATTATATTTCTCCAAAAACAGCAATATATTTGCCAGCGTTTATTTCTATGTGAAACCGATCGTTTCTATTACAGTTGTAGTAATAGACATCAGTGGTTTTGAACATTAACATTTGAATATTAAACTGAATCATAGGGAAGGACAAAAGGATATTGACTATAGTAATGCTGATCGCAGTGCATGTGATGTCGAATATACCCGAATGGTTGAGCTAGAAATGTCTTATTTCTTGCGCTTAAAACATCTTACCAAACACATATTACGATTTTAAAAAACAAGAAAGGAAAGCTAACTTCGGGCGGAGCCGAAGTTGATATACCCTTGCAGAATATTATGTACATTATATTCTCCAAAATTATTCATATGATGCATTCTTAATACTCATAAAAGTTCCCAACTTCCTAACTTTAAAAACTCCAAAGTTATGGCATTTCCAATCGTTCAGTTAAATGGCAGCTATAGGATATAGTCGGCCGATCCTTATGACATTTGGTAGGTCGGATTGATTAACCAAATATAAAACCCATAGAAAATCCCAGCTTCCTAACTTTACAAACACCAAAGTTATGGTATTTCCAATCGTTCAGTTAAATGACAGCTATAGGATATAGTCGGCCGATCCTTATGAAATTTGGTAGGTCGGATTGATTAACCAAATATAAAACCCATAGAAAATCCCAGCTTCCTAACTTTACAAACACCAAAGTTATGGTATTTCCAATCGTTCAGTTAAATGACAGCTATAGGATATAGTCGGCCGATCCTTATGAAATTTGGTAGGTCGGATTGATTAACCAAATATAAAACCCATAGAAAATCCCAGCTTCCTAACTTTACAAACAACAAAGTTATGGCATTTCCGATCAATCAGTTATATGGCAGCTATAGGATATAGTCGGCCGATCCTTATGAAATTTGGTAGGTCGGATTGATTGGCCAAATATAACACGCATAGAAAATCCCAACTTCATAACTTTACAAACAGCAAAGTTATGGCATTTCCGATCAATCAGTTATATGGCAGCTATAGGATATAGTCGGCCGATCTCGGCCGTTCCGACTTATATACTGCGTGCAAAGGAAAGAAGGGTGTGTGCAAAGTTTCAATTCGATAGCTTTAAAACTGAGAGACTAGTTTGCGTAGAAACAGACAGACGGACAGACAGACGGACAGACGGACATGGCTATATCAACTCAGGAGGTGATCCTGATCAAGAATATATATACTTTATAGGGTCGGAGATGTCTCCTTCACTGCGTTGCACACTTTTGACCAAAATTATAATACCCTCTGCAAGGGTATAACAAGAGAGAACGCTATAGTCGAGTGCCTCGACTATTAGATACCCGTTACTCAGCTAAACAACTTAATATAAATATGCCTTCTTGTATGTTTTTCGCCGCTCGAATTAGCTCCCGATTTTTATGTTAAAATCGGTACCTAGGGAACACCACGTGGAGGACGTTGATTTGAAACGGGGTCTTTCAAGACATTGGTACCACGGGCCATGAATGGCGGAAATGTAGGCGCTAGCCAGGCTTAAGCGTTTAATGGGTTTTTGGGCGTTAGAGTGGGCGTGGCAAACTTGTATTAGGCCAATCGATAGGTATTGACGAAACAAATACATATCAATTAAAATGTTCATAATAGCATCAAAACTGTGGCCACAGCTTGTGGCTTGTGGGCGTCAGAGGGGGCGTGGCACCATTTTGAAACAAACTTGCGCTGCGTAGGAACTCCTAAAATCTACATGCAAAATGCCAATCTTCTAGTTTTTATAGTTTCCGAGATCTCAGCGTTCATACGGACAGACAGACAGACGGACATGGCTAGATCGACTCGGCTAGTGATCCTGACCAAGAATATATATACTTTATAGGGTCGGAAACGCTTCCTTCTACCTGTTACATACTTTTGCACGAATACAATATACCCTTTTACTCTACGAGTAACGGGTATAATAAGTGAATCTCAAAATATGCATTAAATGGTCAAATTCGTCCACATAATACTGCTGCAATTTTCTACTAACTTAGTTTATTTAAATTTTAACTTACACACTTTTATTATTCTTTTAAAGAGACTAAATCTTTTATTAGTTTATACGATCGAACCAATCCCAGCATCAAGACCATTTTCGGTTATGGGCAATCCAATTCAACTGCATTCTTGCTGAATCAAATGTTTCACCCACATGCACTTCCGAATGACATTTAGATATGTAATTTCCATTGCAATCAATTCGAGTGTTTGTTTAATAAATCTACTGCCCGAGTGTGACGGCGGGGACACTTGTAAGGGCATTCGAATACACAATTAATGAAATACTAGCATACAAATAAATATACATACGTATATCATTTCCAATATTTGGCAGAGCTGGGACAAAAGTAAACAGAAGAGGCAGCACTGCTCCATGTTGGATTTCCCAATTGCATTAATCTTATTTCCAGAGTGGCCCAGGTCCGGCGAAAGATGAGCAAAACAAAAGATGCTTCTTGTGCATACACATTCGCACATAAATGCAAAAACTAATATTATTACAACAAATAAATAGAGACTCTCGGCAACTCCGGCAGCAGCAGAAACATTGGCTGAGATTGTATTTCAAACTTGTTGGATATTTATATGTCCGTCTGCATCTGTGCCTTCGTGTGTAGGCAAACATTGTCAATCCACCGACATGAATTGATGATGGAGGCGAGTGTCGACTGCCATCGAAGACATTTCCAAGCTCGGGGAATCGGGACTGGGGAGACAAGTCCAAGTGATGAAAACTTTTTGATAGAGCTAGAAGCTCCTGTAGGTCTTCGTGATTCAATATTTAGTTAAGTTTTTATTACTTAGTGGTATTTTCTTTGTCTTGTGGTAAATAAATTGAGGCCACAATTTCGCATTACCAAATTAAAGCAATTACAACTATAAGCAATACAAGAAAATGTTTCTTAGTAATTAATTTTAAGATTTTAAGTTCTGTTAGTAACTTTTTTTAGTTTTATTTATTAATAGAGTGTGCGAAAAATATTGGTCTTCAGTACTTTACTACATAATATTACTCATATAAATAACTACTCATTTAAAACTTTTTTTTTTTTAACGAAACATTATGGTACCGTGTATTTTGCATTGTATACTGTATTGACTGTTGAACTAACCACAAAAACTATTGCTTCATTTAACGTTGAATCTTGTTCATGTATAATGTTAAATTTACAGTAAAATAGTAATTAATATGTGATGTTATATGTCTCATTTAATATTATTAATTTCAGTTACTTTTCGCTTTAAATTCAACCAACAATTGTTATTTTGATTTGGTAGATTAAATGTCAGACGGAACAATTCATTTTTATACCCTTGCAGAGGGTATTATAATTTCAGTCAAAAGTTTATAAAGTATATATATTCTTGATCAGCATCACCAGGAGAGTCGATCTAGCCATGTCCGTCTGTCCGTCTGTCTGTTTCTACGCGAACTAGTCTCTCAGTTTTCAAGATATCGAATTAAGACTGTGCACACACCCTTCTTCCCTTTGCACGCAGTATATAAGTCGGAACGGCCGGGATCGGACGACAATATCCTATAGCTGCCATATAACTGATCGGAGATGCCATAACTTTGGTGTTTGTAAAGTTAGGAAGTTGGAATTTTCTATAGGTTTTATATTTGGGCAATCAATCCGACCTACCAAATTTTATAAGTATCGGCGCACTATATCCTATAGCTGCCATATAACTGAACGATTGGAAATGCCATAATTTTGGAGTTTTTAAAGTTAGGAATATGGGGTTTTTTATGAGTAGCAAGAATGCATCATATGAGTAATTTTGGAGAATATAATTTACAGAATATTCTGCAAGGGTATTTCAACTTCGGCTCCGCCCGAAGTTAGCTTTCCTTTCTTGTTTTAATATATTTTAATATAAAAATCATGGTTTAAATGAACAACGTTTTTCAGTGTGTGACCCACTGCTGTTTTGATAATCAATGCCGAATTTCAGGAAACTCCGCCATGTGGTTATCCTGCCCGAAAAGGCCTTTGCCCGTTGGTCAAGCGTATCACTGATAGATAGTAGCACAAAACGCCGGACTTGAAACCGCGGCAATGGACCAACTTAACTCAACTCGACTAGGGTCTGGTGCAGCCCATCCATCCATGGGAACATCCAGGAATATATCCATCCATCAGTGGCAGGGACAATGTTGCTTTTGTTGGTTGCGTTGGTTGCTGGTGGCATACGATCAGAATCAGACAGCGTTGACGTTTCAACTTTGTGCTAAACTAGGCGAATGGCAAAAAGGGCTTTAGCCCAAATATGGCGAATGCAACCCCCCATAAATGCTGAAAAAGTTAAGCTCTCGGTTTTTGCGGGATTATTTGCGAGCGTTCAAAGGATGTCGTTAGTCCTTTGCGATTCGCAGGCGCAACTTTTGCGCAAGCCAGCTCTCCCTGGTTTTTGTGGCCCCTGTGTGTGTGTCTCATTTTTTGCTGTTCTGTTTATTGAAGTTGATAAATTGAATCAAAGGTTAACTTTGCGAAAAGTGTGAAGTATGATTAACAAGAAGGCGGGAAAAGCAGCTTAAAGCGCGCATTTAAATGGCTGCTAATTTGCCCGAGTTACCCGATGATGCTGGGCAAATTGATTTAGTCGAACAGTAAACAAAACTCGGAAGAGCAGCACCAAATTCCCTAGATACAAGGATAGGATGCTAAAATAGAAGTCCTTGTAATTGCAAAGAAAAACACGCTCTGTCTCTTTCCCTGGACCTGTCTAAAAGCTGTCGGAGCCGGCAACAACAACCAGAAATTTATGGCCAACTGGAACTGGAACCAGGAGCTAGGAGCTGGGAGCTGG